AGACGAAGAACTGGATATCGCTGCAGTGAAGAGGGTTTGTCAGAAGTTGCATATTCACAGCTCGTCGTTGATAGTGGAGAGAAACTTCCACCTCTCAGATGCTAGACAACGCGGCCGACTGAACTTTGCCGAGTTTCTGACCTTTGTTCGCAGAATCAATCAAAGACCAGACGTCCAACGCATCATCCGCAGCATTGCGAGGGATCCTGAGCTGGGAATTACATTGGAGGAATTCCTTCGCTTTGTGCAGGATGTCCAAGGGGAGGATATCAGCTCCAACCGTCTCTTGTGGGAGAAGAAGTTTGCGCTTCTCTCACGGAGGCCCAAGGGTGAAGCGGGCCCGAAGCCGGAAAAGCTAGAAATTCAGCGGATGTCTGAGGCGGCATTCGTTGGGTTCCTAACTTCGAAGCAAAACAGCCCTCTTCTGGAGGAACCGCAGCTATTTACTCTGGATCGACCAATGAATGAATACTTCATCTCGAGTTCGCACAACACCTACCTGCTTGGCCGCCAAGTCAAGGGCCGATCCAGCGTAGAGGGTTACATAGCCGCCCTTGTACAAGGATGTCGGTGTGTTGAGGTTGACTGTTGGGATGGCCCAGATGGGCAGCCACAGGTGGTGCACGGACGAACCCTCACAACTGCCATCAGCTTCAGAGAGGTTATGACGACCATCAGCAAATATGCCTTTGTTAAAACGCTCTTCCCGCTGTGGATTTCACTAGAAGTTCACTGCAACCCGACCCAGCAAGCCATCATGGCGGAGATTATTAAGGAATCATTCGGATCACGTTTGGTGACAGAGCCACTGGATCCTGAATCAGACAAGTTGCCCTCTCCATCCCAGTTGATGGAACGTATTCTCATCAAGGTCAAGAAGCCCCGACCGCGCGAGGAGCTTGTAGATACAGAACCTCGTGGCCGCCGAAGAGGTAACAGTCTTAACTCAAGTTTGAACTCGCCTCGATCCCGTTCCATATTCGGCGATAGCTCTGGATTCAGCCCCTCCCAATCACTGCCACAGAGCCCGCTCCTCACCCCTAGCCACTCATCTCGTCGACTAGTGAACAAAGCTCGTGTGAATACCATTACCGAGGGCGAGGTCCCAATCGAGCTACTTAATAGTAGCAATAGCGACAACGAGAGTGGTAGTGAAGCCGGCTCTACGGCACACTCCTCGAACAGCACTGTTCGGGTGCTGGGAGAACTGGGTGTTTACTGTGCCGGAGTCAAGTTCCAAGGATTCGACATGCCCGACGCAAAGAATTATAACCACATCTTTTCCTTTATGGAGTCTAGCTTCGCAAGGAACTCGCGTGAGGACAAAATGGCGCTCGACTTGCATAACATGCGATACCTAATGCGAGTATATCCAGATGGGATCAGACTTGGATCAAGCAATTTCGATCCACTGATCTACTGGAGACGGGGAGTACAGATGGTTGCCCTTAATTGGCAGACGAATGACATCGGGATGCAGCTTAATCGTGCCATGTTTGAGGGAGGTACAGACTCGTCAGGTTACGTCCTCAAGCCAAAGGAGCTCCGCGACATTCAGGTTCTGCCATTCAACCTGGATATTGCCGAAGGAAAAAAGGAGCGATCTGTGGTCTCATTCAATATTGATGTTCTCTCAGCACAGCAGTTGATGCGTCCTGCAAACCTGGCGTCGAACAAGGCCATGAATCCATACATCGAGATTGAGGTATTTGATGGACGAGCTTTCGGGCGCAAGTCGGAATCCAGGCTTAGCAACATGCTCTCCACCCCACTCAAAGTTCAGACTGAGGTCGTTCGCGAGAATGGTTTCAACCCTATGTTCAACAATGGGCAATTCCCATTCAGGGTGGTTACTAAACACCCAGAGTTTGTCTTTGTTAAATTCACCGTGAAACTTTCCGCCAACGGCGAGAGCCACAGCAACAAGGACAATGGTGTTGCCTCATGGACAGTCAAGGTATGCAATCTTCGCCAAGGATACCGCACCCTGCCGCTCGAGAATGGCGAGGGCGTTCAGTATCTTTTCTCCTCGCTGTTCTGTAAAATTCGAGTTGATCCGATACAAAAAACATATGTGGAGGATCTCCCTGCCGCCAGCGAAGGTGGCAAATTCAAGAGCCTGGGTGGCAAGATGTTTAATCGCATCAACACCAGCCCCAGAAGCACTGTCGACAAGTCGACTGCGGAAAAATCCAGCTTTGACAGCTAGCCGCGCAGAATCATTTATAATAAACCAGGTTGACCTGGTTTTTATTCATTTCGGAAGTGGAGGGTTTGAAACCCATCAGCCATCTTCTGTTTTTAGCCAACTTCTTCTTCCCTTTGTTTTAGCGATTTAAAAGACTGCCGCCTGCAGGTTTTGGCACTTGCACCAGGGACAGGACTCCCGTTCTAGCATACAGCATATGATGTTTATTTTTCACCCCTGTTGTTTTTCGAGGGGCTCATTGATTTATGGGAGCTGTGGTTCAGGATTTTGGCATGCATATACCACACACATTGTTTGGAAGTTCTAGGGATGGGCCATTGAGAAATCAATATCAAAATGGAGAAAAGGACAGTCACTTCGAGTTTCATAGACGGGATATTTACGGAAGCCACGATTGCTTTGATTTTTATTTCTTTCTCCCAGTCGGTTTCCTCTGTTTTCCTTTGTTTGCCATGCCTCTTTTCTTGTTCGCCGAGTCTGTCTCTCCACTGTCGTTACAATCTCATCTTTCGCTGATCGGATTGGGACGGAGGCCAATGGGGGACCATGATACTAGCGGCAACAATTCACCGCCAGTTGACAACCTTTGGGCAAATTGAGATCAACTAGTTGAAGTGTATTACATGATTGGCTTTGCTCCTTTGGTCAAGGTCTGGTGAAAACACACAGGTGCGAGGAGCATGGGAAATTGAGCGAACCAGAGTCAATGGGAGTCAATTCACAGGTCAACCAGGAAGTTTGTCGCGCACACGCATATACACACATACATATGCACGCGCATGGGTCATCAGAGTGCGTTACTTGGGCGGTTTTGACAGCATGCATGATATATACATCACCGGTGGCTCGCGCTGCAATGCATCAACCTACGGCTGTGCCGAGGCAGGAATACGTCGGAGTGTAAGATGAAGAATGTCGTCAAGGGAAGATGCTGGTTGGTGCATTCAGGATAAGATGGAACCAGTTTGTAGCATACGCGGAGTTTTCTGGGAGGAGGCGCTTTCATGGATGTAACGAAATGAAATGACAAGACATGAACCACACACCCTCAGTTCCCTTTCCTTACTTGCCAGCCTGCCGAGACGTGAAACAGTGTCTGATGGTTGCTTGCGCAACTTGTGGCAACAACTCCTTGTATGATCCAGCCCCAACCCAGAGCCCTGCTACTTGATAGGCAGCTCTTGAGAACCCCGGCGTATGTAGATCTTTGGGCCAAACTTGCTAACAACGCATCAGGGGGGAGGGGCAGTTCGGACAGTCGAGTTAGCATACGTCTAGTTACATTACGTCCCGTTCACACGCCGATCTTCATGACGATCAGGCAGACTGATAAGGAAATTGGGAAACTATAGACATGCACAACCACGCAAAACCGATGTCCGGCACTCTCACCCTTGCCCATGTGCGATGTCAATCGCGAGGCGGACTGCGTGCGAGTCCCATTTGGTTCGTTTCGCCCCAACCCAGAGTTCTGAACCCCTCGAGGTCCCTTGAACCCCTCCCCCCCACGTTCGCCCTTTCCCTCCTCCACCTGCTTCTCTTTTCCCCTTCTCGTGCTGGGATCCTTTTTTTACTGATGGTACCCCCCGTGGCCAAGAATTGCGATCAGCGAGGGAGGGATAATCAGGAGAGAGGGGGGTTGCGTGTGTGAAGGATCTTCACGCGTGATAATACACGTCGAAGGCAAGGGGGACGGGGATGGNNNNGGGGGGGGGGGGGATTTTGTGGCTCGAGTACTCCGTACACGGCACCGCCAAGGGTTTCTTTTTTTCTGGGCCATTTCGTCATCGTGCGAGAGACACGTGTGACGTTTCCCAAGGTTCGGTCCGGGGTGCATGCAGCCATTTCCGCGAATGTGCTGGGCCCCGGGCTGGGGAGGTGTGGCGAGCAGGTGACTGAGAGGGCGGATTGTCCGTGTTCCTCTTTTTTGGGTCTGATATTGATGGTACATATGTACCCTTGACGAAAAATTGGGTGTTTTGGATTTTGGGAAAGGTTGTATTTGTCTCTATTCTGCTATTACTGTGTACGTGTGGTTGTCTTTGTGCCGGCACTCGATGACCTTGGTGATACGTATCACAGCCCGTGTCCTTGCCAGGGTTGGGTGAGCGAGCTCCCAAGACACATATGACTTGGCAATGGCACGTCGCTCGCTCGCCGACGCTCGGCATACGAGGTTGCACCGCTCTCTCGTCGCTCAGCTGTACCTCGGAAAAGCATGGCTGGTGATTTCATGTCTCCCGAGAAGAGGAATTTTTGATCATACAGGTATACGTAAATCTAGTAGATACATCAGCCCACCCCCCCCCCTGCCGAGAGCTCTTCTCATGGTGGGTGTTGGGACCATGAGACGGTGACAACAAGGACGAAAAATTAAGATTCAGAAGATGTGTAGAAAATGCCATGCAAAAATAAAATGGCAGAGCGAGAGAAGAAACCACCATGTAGGCGGGGGAGGGGAAACACACAGAACGCCTTGACGAAATATGTTACTCTCTAAAAACAAACCAATTTCTCCCTCACGCTTTCTTATCCGCTTGAGAGTCTCCCTGAGGAAACCTCTGTGGTCAGCCCGAGAATTAATCATGTGACAAGCCTTCCCCAGGCAGAGAAAAGTTCAAGGTCTCTAGCCTCGGCGCGTACTTGGACCAGGCACTCGCTGGTCTGATGTTTTCGCAAAGGTGAGTTGAAGAAAATAATCATTATAAAGACAGAGGCAAGCAAGACATAACAAGAAACTCGTGACGCTGGCGCTTGAACGCTTTCATGGTCTATTGCGAATTTGAATGCATTAGTCGACTCCCTCGTCATGGAGGCGCGAGGTGACTGCTTTGCCGTTGGTGAAGCTGCTCTGCTTCCTCAACATGCCGCTGGCACCACCACGACCCCAGCCGCCATTGGTAACAACATCCATGGCACGGTGCTCCGCTTCTTGCCGCTGTTGACGTTGGTGTTGGGCATCGCCGTCGTCGTTATCAATCTCATCCAACTCCTCCTCGATCGTGCGGCCTCGAGTACTTAGCCTTTTCAAGGGGACGTCTTGGGGCTTATCGGCATAGAGGCTCGGGTCCCGTCCTAATACACGGTCCGCCTTGCTAGGTGTTCGCTTCCCGTTGCTGGAGGGGGGACTGGGGGGGTAGTGTCTGCCAGCACCCCCAGCGTTGGTCCGAATAATCACTGGAGGCTCTTCATTTCCATCGCCCCAACCGGCGTTGATCTCAAGATTGCGTTGATGCTCTCGGTTGCGTCTTAGACGCTCCCTGGCTTCCTCCCACTTGGGGTTAGTTTCCCAGGCCCATCCGTCACCAATGGTGTTGGAGACTGGGAAAAACCAGAGCAAAGGCGATGGCCCAAAGAGGTGGTGTAAGTTACGTCTCCATCCCATATCAAAGGCGTTGGGAAGCTTTTCAGAGTCCTGCTCGTCGAGGTAGTCTTCATAACGCTTCTTTGCGCGTGTGCGCTCCAGTTCCTCGTAGGACATTTGCACAGGTGGGCGTGGTCCGTCGATTGACCTATGCTCCTCGCCCTCTTCAGGGTGAGTGATACCAGGTAGGGCATTGGTGTGAGACTGGACGAACTGCTGAGCTGACTGGGGGATGCCGTTTGCCGCGTTCTGGATTTGTTGTATGGACTTTCTCAAAGGGGACAGGTATCGGGTCTTTTCCAAACATTCGATCGTGGTCTGGCCTCTGCTGGCGAGCATGATATGCCACGAGGTGAAAGCACCGACAACGAGCCCTATAATTCCACTGATGACGGCGAGCATGATGAAGTTGAGAGGCATGAAGGTGTCGGTGAAACCCGTAGCGTCGATAATCTCGACATAGACCCACGTCCCGCTGGCAGCGAACGCGTAGAAGCAAAAGAGCGTAGTGTAGATCAGGAAGAGGAGAAATGCCTTGTGGTTTCGCAGGCCAACGCAAGTCGCAAGCCATGGGCAGTGGTGATCCATCTTCAGAACGCAGCGGCGGCATGTCGAGCAGTGGTGGGCACGATCGGGTTTCCGGGCTTGGCACTTCTTGCAGAAACGAAGCTCGCCATTGCTCTTGACGGTAAGCGATGTCGCGTTGTTCTGGCTAGTTTGGCTCGTGGGGAGGAGGCCGTATCCGTCATCGTTGGTGGTCGAACCGGGATTCGTAAAGACGGCCGTGGTATAACACCAGTTGAGCATGGCATATAGGATGACACCGAAGACGGACGAGCTGGTTCCTGTACGAACGTGTGCCAGGTTAGCAAGAGCGCCATAAGTAGGCAGGCAGATAGCCGGGCTGGGCTAGGATAGTAGGCCTTCAGAGATGGGGTTTGGTTCGATTGAAGTCATACCTAGCCAGGACTTGTGAGTGCCGAGCCTACCGCAGTTCACGACTACCCAGACGGCCCATGTCGTGATACCGTAGACGAAGGCCAATGGCGTGTACTTGGCGCATGTGCAGCACGCACGCTCCGCCCGGCGAGCGCAACGGCGATTCATGTTGGGAGGAAGTTCGGAGTGGTCGTTGTGGCGGCCGTCAATTCATCGCTTGGGAAGTGTGGTCCAGGGGTTGTCGTCTGAATATATCGGGATCGTAGCGGCTCGATGCTCTCTGGTCGAGGGTTGGGAAGTACGCAATCAGGGCGACAGGCGCATGACCTGGGAAACCGAGAGTCCTTCTTTCTTGGCCACGGCTCGTGAATGACGGAGAAGTATGGAAATTGGTGATACACTACACTGCCTGTGAAGAAGAGAGGCGCTGCAGGACGTGCTGACAAAAAGTAATAATTAGGGGACCAGGGGCCAGACTTACAGACAGAAGTCTCCCCTCATCTAAGGCACAGCCCACGATCGGATTGACCCCCTACCAGGTGCCCCCTAATAATAGGCACTAGCAGCGGGAGCAGGCCAATCACAGGCTGACGGCCCCGGGCATTTTTATCCCCAGAGGACCATGATTTAATAGCAACTTGGACAAGAGCCTACCATGCATGTGTATTTTCTCTGTATCAATCATTGTACTCAGTGGAGGCAGGCTTCAATCTCATAATAAGCCAATTTTATATTGTTCAATCTCTCAATTATTCTAATGCTGATGAATTGTGGCTCCGCTGGCCAAATTGCTAAGCTGAGGCGCAGTTCCCTGTGCCACAGCTAAGATGTATCATCTAGCTGGGAGATTAAGGTAGACTGGCTTGCGTAAACGCATGTCTGTTCAGTGGCTTCTTGTATGACTAATTAACTAACTTCATCCTCGTGAGCATCATTGCCCACCAGCTTTTCATAAGCAAACCCTCCGTATATTATCCATAGCAATCCGCAATGCGAGACTGGTCACCTACGATGGTGATTTGCTCCAAGCCGACACAGCAATGCAAATGTATGCCGTTGCATGCAGAATATCACTCCCATCCTGGAACGTGCTTCTTCCCATCTGGACCCTTCTTGGGCCCGAATTTCTCCTTCGCTGACTCTGCAGTCACGTATTGGTTTGTGCCGTCTTCGTATCGTTCAAGGGACACATCGACCAACCCAGCGGTGAGTTGGTCTACGTAAGCCCCAAATGCGTCTGCTTCGCGAATGTTGCAGCGCTGGCTACTGGATTCTACATGTGCTGTCAGGGCTGTTAAAGAGTAGAACTTCTTGAAACAGTTGGGACAGTTGTAAGATATATTTCCATGAATGGTAAGCAGATGCGAGGTGAGACCCCTGGCATTCTTGAAGCATTTCCTGCATAGTTGTTTTAGTTAGCTTAAACTTTGAACTGCCCGTACAAGAAAGGGAACTACTTACGAGCATTCGAGCCTGGGGCAAGTGTACTTCCCAACAAATTCAGAATAGTACCTGGAAGCATCGAAATGAGGATGGCTTGGGTGATCAGGATCCATTGCATCGTGCATTGCTCGTCCATTTGGTGCTGTAGCCCGCTCGAGTTGCCTAGGACTTGGTCTTTGGGGAGCCCATGCATCGGAAAATAGATTCATTTTCTCAGACCATGCGTCTTCCACGGCCTTGGTCTTGTCATTGACGTTCTCATCGGTTGTTTTATCCGATTTCTTCTTGTTCGTGCTTGGTTGGCTTGGTTGTGCTGTTTGATTTAGAGGGGTCGGTAGCGGGAGCAGGGTCCAGGTCGACATGAACGCGGACTCTGGATCCGTTCTTGCCGAAGTACTCTTCTCTGATTGTGAAGTGTTAGTCTTAGAAGATCCATCTGGATTGTTCTCATCGCGGCTCGAAGGAACTAGGGCTCGGATTCCACCATTCTTCCTTTCCAAAGATGGGGCTTGTTGATCCTTGGACAAGGTCTCAGAAGCCTTGCCCATCCTTTGAAAAACTGCTTCTGAGAGGCGAGGCCATTCCTCGGCCTTCGTCACGAAGGGTTTAGCCGGCTTGGATTTGGCGGGCTCAGGTTCTCTTGTTATCTTTGGCTGACTTGACATCTCAGCCTTACTTCGGAGGTAACTGGAGAAATCATGCTTCAGTGGCTCGTTCGTGAGAGCCACTAGCTTCTTAGCAAATTCCATCTTCTTTGCGCGGACATCGTCCAGAGTATCGGCGGAGAGTCTTGGGCAATGGCCTTTCTCAATATGCTCAACAAGCTGAGCGAGGCGGGTGAAAGGTCCATGATTGCATCCGGGGCACACGAGATTCTGCTTGTGAGGATGATACTGAACGCTGGTTAGATTGGACTGCAGGTTTAAATTATTCATGGGAGTGCTCACGAACCTCTTGGATATGGAGTTTCTCTCCTTCCTCGGTAACAAAATCTATCCCACAAAATCGGCAATGAACATGTCCGTATTGATCATTTGCGCGTTTGTCTGCTTTGTGCTTCAACATTGCCTCCAAGGTAGGGAAGAACACTCCACAAGGTTCGCATTGAAATTCCCCATACTCCTGCCTGGTGGTGTTTCCAGGCGCCATGGCTGGTTGAATTGGCGATTTCTCAGGAGGCACACGCCGTGAAGAATTCAGAAAGACGAGGGCACTGAGTCTGCCAGAAGGAAATCAAGATGCAGATAATTAAGGAACCAAATTACCCGAGAATGGTTGAAATGCTGTGTGAAAGGGGAGAAATTCAGTGACGGACGCAGCTGGTGTTTCTGAAAGGTGAGGGAAGGGGCAGAACAATCGCACCTTCTCTGTTGAGTGGCTGGCGTTTGCCAGGGCAGAACGGAACGAGGAGTGCGCCACCTGGCCGTCTTCTCAGAAGCATCTGAGATTCGGTGGCCGCAAACGACATCTGCTCATAAACGTGAGATAAACGGTTGCTGCCGAGGAAAGCAATTATGATCCTTTCTAAAACATAAAACACTTGAGAATGAGTTTGAGAGATGCTCGCCTTGATAATGTCCTCTTTTGAATAATTCAAGTGTTAATCATCTTTATCACTACCCGTCATTTCATCCTCGTCCATGCCGTGTTGAATAGGAAATCCCGAATAGTCCTCTGCCACCGAATCGTTCTCACTCTCGCTTCCATCCTCACTGCCAGAGCCTTCTTCATTATCGGATCCCATCTCCTGCAACCAATCGTTGTCATTCTCTGCAGCGACGTCTTCATCTGCAATAGAGGGTTCCTCAGTGTGATCCTCGTCCTTAGCCGGTTCACGAAACCTGACGCTATACCCTTTATGTTTTGCCTTTTTGGAAGGAAGACGACCTCGAAGCTGTGTTATCTCCTTGTCTGTCAAGTACAGGTTTGGGAGCGGCACGACATATGTGGATGGCCCTCCAGATCGAACCGGCGTCTCGTCTCCAGCGCGAAGGGTTAAGGCGAAGTCTCTGTCGGTGAGATGGCGTTTAAATTGGATCGCCACAAGTTTGGTCTTCATTATGGCCTTCACTTTCGCCCACATCCCGCCATGGTACCACCCGCTATTGCTGTCCCGAGTTGGACGCACGGCTGCGTTATCCAGAAGTTTGCGGAGTAGAGGGTCTGTAATGTCACAAACTTGCCAGACCTTTCCGTCTGTATGGTAAGTCTCCCCGTCAAAAAGATGAGTCTGGGATGTATCCAGATCTCCGGCTTGATTGGCACGTAGGCTATGCCAGGACTGAAAGTGCCGTGTGCTTCTGTGTTTAGACAAAAGCTTGAACATAAGAGTCTGATATATCCGATACTTTGGGTCAGTTCGAGGATCTAGTCCGTACGGAACAACCCCGTCTCTCCATGGGCCGCCCTTGAACTGGTATGCCACATAGTTGAGATACTTCTTCAGCTCGTTCCAGTTCCGTAGTTTCCCTCCCAGCCGATTCATCAAAGCTCTGCGAGTCCACAGCGGTCTTTCTTCGAAAGCGACCTCTAATTCTGCAATCACTTCAACAGTCCGAGGATCTGTCATGTCTGGCGGAACCTGCGGACCTTGGGGCGTCGGATCTTCAGCTGCTATGAAATATCCAATCTGTTGAGCTGCATATGCATTGAATGCATTGCCATCCTCTGTGGTCCGGACGTATGGGTTTTGAGAATAGAAGTAGTTGAATGGCATGCTCATATGAGTGAAGACAGGTGGTGGAATAACGTCAACATTCGGACCTTGATCAACACCGGGCTTGAATTTGAACTCCTTCATCTTTTCCACTGCGCCAAATGTGTTAGCGAGACTCGGCTTCTCCAAGTAGGAGAGAGCACTTACCATCACCGGGAAGAACTTGATCGATATATCTCCGAGCAAAATCTGACCTCGATGACATGTCCCAGTAAAAGTCTGCAAGACCTCGAAAACGATGTGAATGCTCAATTATGCCCGCGATTTCTACCTCATAGTTGCCCACATTTTCCTGCAGTTTTCTCTTCAGAAGCTTAGGGTCATCCATACGCGCCTGAGAGGACACATTTCCATGGGAAGAGGGAGGCTCGCCCGAGTCTACAACATCAACATCTCCTTGCCAAGGCCCCTCGCTGCCTCTCTTGCGTTTTCGTCCTGTCCGTTTGGGGACGGTGACTTTGAGAACAACATTGTGAGATTTGGCATTGTGGGACATTAAAGGTTTGCAAAACGGGCTATCTGGGTTCATAAATAATGGGATGGAGTGGTTGTCTGGGTCCAAGACCTTCAATGCTGGTTAGTTCGCGAAGTCCAGCGAATGAATAGCCATCAACTCACATGGTTCAGATTGGCGACTCGACCAAACGCCCTCACTGCACGATCCACATCCTGTACAACGGCGGGGATCTCAACGGCAGCAAGCTTCCGTGCGGGTATAGTATATCGTGGTGCACCTTGCCGTGTCCCTGGTTCATCAGAAGCCAATTCGCTAGGCCCATGTTCAGAGTTTGAACTGTGCTGTTCAGCGTCGGCCTCGACGGTGGATGGTTCCATGGCAATCTTTCGGCTATGTGGCACATATGAGACATGAAAATTGGAATACCAGGTCAAGTATGAATGGACCCATGGGCCGGTTACCGTGCCGAGGGAAGGTGTTGAGAGCCCTTCTCAAGAGATATTCGCGATGGCGCTTGACACTAAATCTACACTGTGCCCATCAGCAGCTTATAGCGGTGAGACACAGTGCGAAATCCAACTCAACTTATTCACATACATTCCAGTTGTCGAGAATAAAACCCTATGGTCATAGTATTGACACGGAAAGCCTCTTGATATCAGCCAAGCCATTCTCAAGGTTATATCTCTTGTTCTAGTCCGTGGCTAACCTTCCCCGAGACCTGCGCCACAGGTCCTGATGAAATGTGGCTGACGGTACAAAGTCACGGGAACAGTGTGCAAAGGCGCGCGTTAGCAGCTCTGTTCGACCTCAGCGTAATCCTACAAAACAGTTCCAGTAGCAATCAATGCGCATCTAATGAAATATCGCAGCTGGAATAGAGGCAGCCTACTGGTCTAATAACCTGAACAATGGAAACATGGAGGTTGGATGTTTGCATGAAGTTGTTTCCAGGAGCAACAGCCACAGGTATGCAGTCTCAATTTAGGAGCTGTTCCACGAGCAGTCATACCCCCGTCGCTTCAGAAAGTAATGTAATCATGCAATCTCAAGGATCGATTCCTAGTGGGTGGCCTCGTAATTCCAGAGTTCTCGGATAATGGCACAATAGGGCCAACAGATATTACCTTCCTGCAGAGTGCTATATACAGTATTGAAGACAGTGTTTCCGCGATGTAATTTACCAGACCCCGCGTCACTGGATTCCTGGGATGGGCCCTCTCGGGGATAGAAGCTCAGCCACTGATTTCAAGGACGGGCACCACCCGCACACCCTCTTCCCGCCTCAGGCTTCGTGGTACGTGGTTGGAAGGCAGCGATAGGCCAAGGCGTCCAGCTCTGCTGCCTCTCCAACAAATCAATGTGTAATTTATCCATCATTCCCGGCCGCCTTGCGCTTGCGCACTAGCACCTCCCCCAAGTACCGTGCCACCTGATCAGCTCTGAAACCGCCAGAGGCAGCTTTTATTAGGCGGCGCGCTGACCACCAGCCCATGCAGGTCGTAGCTTTCCTCTCCACAGCTGGATCTACTGGCATGTACGAATGATGTACGGCGGCGTGCGACTGCCTCCCAGTTCCCTTTGGTAGAGCAGGTACCTGTTAGTGCGCCTCGCGTAGTGGACTCCTGCATCCTACGCCGGCAGCCTATTCGCTGTCTGAGGCCTGACTAAAATCCCGAAGGCCTTAAACAGGAGCTTCGATTCAGCGTGCCTACCGCCTGTACCTTGCCTCGACACCGTCCGTGCCTACTAAGACCTGCTACCTACCAGGTTAGGTACCGTCCCGGTCCCCATCATCCCATCCCAGCCCAGCTCAGGCCAGTGCAGTAGCAGCGCACCGCGGAGCACCGCAACCTAACCAGCACCACAATTATCCCCCTTGTGGTTGCTTGCTTCTCATCCACCACCCCAGTCTACGCCCAACCAGGCCTCTCTGCGCCTCTTCGTCCCTGCTGCCAATTCCCCCAAATCAAAACCCCCTCAGACCAACCGCCCCATCCTGAATCGACCGTTGCGCTTTCACATCCTTAGCATATTCAAGCACGACAGATTTACTCCGGCCTCCTTCGGGAGCCTCAAGCGCTCGCACGTTCACGCCCATTGCTCTCAACTCTACCCCACTGTGAGCGTGCCTAGAAGCAGCAACTCCCCACTGCGAGATAGGATTGGTGGTGCAACCTGGAGACCAAGATGAAGCGCCTCGGCCAGAGAGTGGTAAGGAGCTCGCCCATCCCTCTCTTCGTCGTTTTTTTTTTGGATTACCTCTAAAGCCTTAACTAATCATAGGCCCAACAGCTCTCAAGGAGCAAAGACAACAGCAAATCCTCCAAGAAGAATAGGGAATCGAAGGACGGAGCCGCGTCCCCCTCCTCCCGCGATTCGAATCAGTCACCTGTTCTTACACCGTCTTCGTCGACGTCGACCCTCAACGATGTCCGCAAGTCTATGCCCGCCAACCCTTCGGGGATGGGAGGTGATCATTCTACCTCACAGCCTTCCGGCCTGTCCAATGTCGTGCAACCTGGCAGCGTGCCTGACCGGTTCGGTGCATCTGGCGGAGCCTCGAGCCCCAACGGTGGACCTAGTAATGTGAGGTTACCACCCACTGTTGTCATCAGCCCAACACCTGGAGTAAGTCTAGATACCCGATTCATCATGGGCTTTCGGGCACCTTGTGGTGCCGAGCACAGGCGAGTAGCTGACCCTCCTCTAGCACATCCCTCCTCCTGGAGCTGCCGAGACCATGCCTCATGATCTGGCCCCCCCCAAAGCTGGCCAAAAGTCATCAATGTTGATGCATAGAGGAATTGACAATCGAGACGCGATACCCGAGGGTTTGAGGACACCGAAACGACAGCATTCGTCTCGCTTCGACATCTCGGCTCATCGCGAGCTAGAGAAGCTTCCTGGTTTTCACGAGGTGCCTCCTAACCGTAGACAGGAGCTTTTCATGCAAAAGATCGACCAGTGCAATGTTATCTTCGACTTTAACGATGCGAGCGGTGACATGAAGTCAAAGGAGATCAAGCGCCTGGCACTACACGAGCTTCTAGATTACGTTGCGAATAACAGGCAGGTTATCACAGAACCCATGTACCCCCGAGTCGTCGACATGTTTGCCAAAAACTTGTTCCGTCCGATCCCGCCACCAATGAACCCTCAAGGGGAGGCATTCGATCCAGAGGAGGACGAGCCTGTACTGGAGGTTGCTTGGCCGCATATCCAGGTCGTCTACGAGTTCTTCCTGCGCTTCATTGAAAGCCAAGACTTTAATACAAATATGGCTAAGGCATATATCGACCATAGCTTCGTCCTCCAGCTTCTCGAACTCTTCGACTCTGAGGACCCTCGTGAGCGAGATTTCTTGAAGACGACACTCCATCGAATTTACGGCAAGTTCCTTAATCTCCGATCATTCATCCGCCGGTCGATCAACAACGTCTTCTTTCAGTTTACCTATGAAACTGAAAGGTTCAACGGTATTGCAGAGCTGCTTGAAATTCTCGGCTCCATCATCAACGGATTCGCTCTGCCATTGAAGGAGGAGCACAAGATCTTTTTGACACGTGTTTTGCTTCCTCTTCACAAGCCTAAGAGTCTGAGCATGTATCACCCTCAGCTTGCGTACTGCATTGTCCAGTTTTTGGAGAAGGATGCTTCTCTCACGGAGGATGTGAGTGTCACTGCATTTAATTTCTCTTCTTCTATCTTTGGCCAAGTTACTAACGATTTAGGTTGTTCTTGGCCTTCTGCGATACTGGCCCAAGGTCAATAGTACCAAGGAAGTCATGTTTCTCAACGAAGTCGAGGATATTTTCGAGGTCATGGACCCGGCCGAGTTTGCCAAGGTTCAGGAGCCTCTCTTCCATCAGCTGGCCAAATCCGTGGCCAGCCCACATTTTCAAGTCGCCGAGCGCGCATTGTACTTCTGGAACAACGAATACTTTTGCAACCTGGTTAGCGACAATGTGGAGATTATCCTGCCTATTATGTTCGCACCTCTCTATGAGAACTCTAAGGGTCATTGGAATAGGTATGTATAGCGATTTATAACCTGAGCATGATGAAATAGCTGACCAAGACCTAGAACAATTCATGGCATGGTGTATAACGCTATGAAGCTCTTCATGGAAATTAACCCCCAGCTCTTTGATGATTGCTCGCATGACTACACGGAGCAGCAGAATAGCGCAGCCGAAAGGGAAGCTATCCGTGAGCGGAAATGGGCTGCCCTGGCCGAGAAGGCCGATATACAACGTGAATCAAATGGTACTGCCAATGCGTCCGGGAGGGCCCAGGGGGGCAACCTCGCTCGTGTGGATGAAGTTGATCCCCTTACCGAGGACAACCAGAAGCGCCTCAACTCGTTGAAGCTTCAAGATGCCTCAGCACGCCGCCCAGGGAACCATGAGCGCCAAAGTTCAGTGGGCTCCGCAAAATCCAGGTGACGAGCTGAAGCATCAAGAGCGGATGAGTTGTCTTCGGAGCCTACCAAATCTGCATATTTAAGTTCACGACACATCAGTGCAACTATGCCCATTACTTCCTGTTCTACATATTGAGCCAGGTTGTTTTGAGCCCTCCAAAAAAAAAGTCGGTATTCTCTCGAAGATTTCTGAGATCATCAAATGGCTCCGTTGTTGGCAGGCCACAGCCGAACATAATTCTGGTTTACGCGCCGGCGGCAGTGACCATATACAATTTTAGTAGATTTCTATATGCCAATGACGTTGCTTGCGAGCGATCAAAAACACTTCTCTTCCCCATGAATAAGGACTTGGGCTACGGTTTGAGATCATAGCACGAATGCATGGATGGTAGGGGGAGGGGGGATATGAATGCCTTTGCCGACATGAGCGCAAGAGGCAACTGTTTGCTACCTTTTTTCTTTTGAACCCATACCTCTTCTACGTTTTTTCTTCTTTCACCGACTCCTCGGTCTGTTACTACTTGGCGCATGGGTAGGGCCTGAATCACGACCTCTCTCGTTTGTGTTTACTATCAATTGCCCTGTCTTTCTTTTAAGAACAAACCTATACTGGCCTACTTCCGGGGGACAAAGTCGGTGGGGGGGACCGGGAGGATTACAAGATGGTTCTTATGTCTGGTGGAATTGAATGAATGCTGGCGGAGATTTGGCATGTGGAAAAGGGGATCTTCATGCGCACTGCCCTTTTACTGTTCTATTGCTTTTTTGTTCGCTTCTTTCCCCTCCCCTTAGTTTTCTGATGTAGACGACGAATGAGGAAACCATGAAAAGTCGATATCGTATAGACGAGTGCTTAAATGGGAGTCAGGTTATCTTTCACGTTGGCAGATGGGCGAAGTATTCTTAGACAATGAAATGCACCGAGCACCGTTATATCAACCTTTGAGAATCCACCATCATAACACCTGTGTCAACAAGACGAGTTCCCTACTATGCCCACATATTTTTGATACACTTTTTCCATACAGTTTGATTTCCTCGACACTATTCCGAATGCTGTCAGAGCGCGAAGATTTACCAGCCGCGACCTCCGCGGTCATAGCCGCCCCTCCCTCGTCCCCTGAACCTGTCATTCCCCCTTCCGAAATTGTTTCCCTGATAATGAGGATGATGAGATGGTGGTGGAGGTGGAGGCGGAGCCGAGCCCCATCCGCCAGCCACAGGTGGTATAGGAGGAAACCAATTCGCGGGTGGCCCTCCCATAGAATTTGGCGGCGGTGGGGGCCAAGGACCTGTGTATCCTGTTGGTGGAGGGGGAGGGAAAGGAGGGAAGGGGTGTTGGGACGGAGGGAGTGGAGGGGGTGGTTGAGAACCCATGAAGTTGTTCTCAGCCGGGGGTGGCGGTCGGTTGTGATATGACGATTGCCTCGGGCGGGATCGGGATCGGGAGCTGGAGCGAGATCTAGATCTAGATCTAGAAGGCGAGCGACTATACGAGCGTCGACGAAAGCGTCGTGAATCGGGGCTCCGGCTTCGACTGCTGGAGCGACCTCGTCCAGGTGGCGAGTCGGAATATCGACGGCTCCGGAACGATGCGCGGCCGGGGCTCAAGGAACGACGTCGCGAATCTTGGCCCGACATTGACATGGACCTTGATCTTGATCTGGATCTTGAGCGGCGCCTTGCCTTTCCGTTCTTCGCTTTTCGTTTGTGGTCCTTCATCTGCTCGCAGAATCGCCTGGACCAGCCATAGTAGGTCTCTCCGCCGACAATCTCGCCAGTGACATTGTCCAGGATGGTCCTCTCTCCAAGTTCGTTTATTTCGTCATTGTTCTCTTGGCTCTCTTTGGAAAAGAGAAAATCTGCATCTGCAAGTAGATCCTGAACAGCGGCAACAAGCTTCTGGCTTGCGGGTCCGGCTTTCAATTGCAAGGGCTTGATCTCCTCTGGCTTCATTGGCTTGATGGAATTAGCCTCCATGTGCATGAGCCATGTAGATGCAGGTAGATCGAACCATGGCGTCGAGGGGTCGCCATGTAACGCGGGGAGGATAAACGGCGTGTCCTTGGAAAGCTTCACACTAGTGTTGCTGATAGATTGACTCAGAGGTTGCTGGGGCGAGACGCCATTTGCGAGAGCATCGCGAAGCTTCGCAATAAAGCTTGCAGAGAAGTATGATTTCTCCTGCCATAAATCCAGGAGATTCTCGAGCTTCTTCTTATGCTTTGGGCACTGGTCGAAATCAGCGGCGGCGGCGAAGAGAGCAGGCAGATGCGCCTCCCAAGCGGACTCTAATTTATGGTTGTTAAGCCGAGTGACCAAATGATGGACGACATCGTTGAGTAGGTAGAGAATATGCAGTCTCCATCTCTTGAGACTGATTCTGCGGCCGCGGTCGCTCGGTTTCGACGCGAGGGCCGCCAGGTATTTCCCCAGAGCCGTGGCCCGGTGGGTGGACGAGACAGCGATGTTGTCGACGATCCAAGATCTACATTTCTGATTCCGAGGGAAGCAAGCATGCAATGTTTAGTGAATCTGCACGAACGTGTCTCGAGCAATGAAGCAAACCTGGACGTTGGGACGAGAGCATTGGACGAGGGCCGAGTCGAGCAGGAGAAGGAAGGCTTCAGCATCAGGGCGCGTGAGGGGGGTTGGATCGGCGCGGAAAAGAGCCGCGAATAGCGCCGCGTTGGCGATGGCGAGTTCGTGCTCCATGCCTGGCTAAGGGTTAGGTGTTCCGGGCTGAGGGCCTCGGGAGGCTGCTGGGCAGAACGGCAGAGGAGCGCGCACGTGTAGTGGTAGGTAGAAGCCGCCAAGGTGGTACAGTGGTGTAGTTTGCGAAAATGCGCATTGGAGCTCTGACCCGAGATAAGATAAGCAGGAACCCTTTCAGCGACCAGTCTGAATCATGACGCAAGAATAATCCATTTATTGCAGCTGAAGCAAAGAGATACGAATACCTCTCTCTTCTTTTATATATTTGAAAGTCGTTTTGAAATTGTTGGTTTCCTCTAGGTGGTTGCTCTGTCGAATTCTGAGGATCAAGCCAGGTCTTCTTAGCGGTCTTTATGCTTCTCTTACAGTCACTCGCTGCACTACATATATTTACTACCTAGCATAGATGCATTCTACGAGCTAGTGAGGAACATAGGGCAGAAATAAATCGATTCAAATGTGTTAGTTATACATGGGAAGCCGCAAGGATACTTCCACAGGAGCATGTCAGAGTAACTTATGTACCAATATCATACACAAGGTCATTTAGTGTAGGTGACCACCTGCCAGGGATATTACGCCTTTCTCTTACGAGAATCTGTCTCCCTTGGGACTTCGAAACGGCGTTCTCGACTCGAATTTACTCTTCTCGTCCACCTGCTGCTGTTCGGTGGTCGGCGCATGCCTCGTGGGTGCTGGGTCACTGGAGCCCTCTTGGCTCGGAGAGCCTGCAATGTCGTCCCGTGCCGCAGCCGGTCCATTGTCCTGAATGGAAGACTCCAGAGTCTTGTTCTGGTACTTCTTCAGGCGCTTGGCCTCCTCCTTTGCTTGACGCTCACGGTTGATCTCTCGCTTGGCGAAAACGTAGGCGCCGGCACCGCCTGAGGAGCGAATGCGTTAGATTTGTGCTTATAAATTCGAAAAAGGAAATATAAACAGAAGCTCGAAGCAGATAGGACGTACCGAGGCAGAGCGAACCCCAGCCGAGCCTGCAACATGGTCTGTTAGTGAGGATTCAAAAAGTGGCATGATCTTTCAAGACCAACGAACCAGAAAGATTTAACCTAAGGATACTTGTCAGTCGGTGAGAAAATTCATGCGAATAAAAAATAAAAAAGCCTTACAGTGTTCATTTTGCCTTGCTAGAGAAATAATTGGCCTTGAAAATAGTATTCCTTTTTTTCGGTAAGGGCAGGAGGGATTTTGTTTTCCTCGATGCGACTCTTAACAAATCGATGTCGAAGTTATGCGGTCATCGGAAGGAACAAATCGGAGCTTTGCGACAGGAATTAAGGTGCCCACAATTGCGGAGCGCTAAGATTCAGGGTAGCACACCTCCAGCGCCGCCGCCATTGGACGTTTTCTCACCGGTGGCTACATGGTTCGCGGTGAGCTGATGATAGCACAGCCAAAGCTCTCGAGCTCATATCTAAGGTGCGAGGTGCTTCAGCAAGCCCGCCCGAGATCTAAAATGGGCTACATTCTCTAATGATAGATTGTGTGGGGCGTCTTTCCTTTCTTCTGTTGTCGCACCTCTGCTAATAATTATGGATGGGCTTACCTCTAACAGAAAGAGATTGGCACAAGCAGATCCTTATTCGAGCATTGAGGGCCCTCTGTTGTTTAGTAGCGGTCAGTGTTGGATACCTGGTACGTCTGTCTCGGTTACTGCATCAACAATTGACGCAGCCGTCGCAAACCGGCGCGCCTCTGGTTACGTGTGAATTGGCCGAATCAATTAACCTTCCCATCCATGCAGAATTAATGCCCTTGATTCGCTGCAGATGCTGGCCAGTCAGCGGGCCCGGCACATGCGTCAGCCAAGAATTGGCCATGGGCTCGTGGCTTTTGGGTTGAGTATCAGGTGCGCGCCTGTCGACCTCGAATTTGTTTAGGGGCAATGCGTCGCGTTTTCAGCGGCGGATGGGCCTAATCAATGCTCTAAACTAGACTCTTGACTGAGCCACAATGACAGATCATGCAAACACGAGATAGGTAGGTACAGCGATGCCAGGCACCTGCGTATAGAGTACCTTGCCGTATTCCACATGCCATGCTTCAGGATGTCGGCGGTTGCTATCCATGTATTTTCCCCCGGGCTCAGAGGCCAGAGAGGCACAGTAAATATTGGCTTTTAATAATAACTGCCGTTCTGCCTCCCGGGCACCTAGGTATTAGGAAAGGTACCTGGCGTAGCACTGAAGCAGGTGCCTAGGTACCGCCCCACCATGATCGGGCGGCAACCTTGGGAAGCACCCCAAGTGGGTGCTGGTACTTTGCTACAGGTGCGTAGCCCGCCCAAGTATGAGGTACCTGGTTTCTTGTTTGGGAGGGAGACCAGGGAGCCAAATAAAATCTCTTGGCATCAACCTTACCGTTGGTCCATCCTCGACTTGTAATCTGCGACTATCCTATCCAACAAGCAGTGCTCTTGGTTCTAAGTGCTGGCAGACCGGTTTCGAATACAAGAGATTGGTTCCGGAAACACGACGACAAAGATTTGCAAGACTGCCCCTTACGTGCCTAATTACCCGATCCGTGGCGAAGCATATGCGTTCCAACTAAACGGGGATAATTTCTGGGGTCGTGCTCTGCTTAAACGTCACTGGCGTCGCACCCATCCGTCCATACACCATCGAACCCCCCCTTGGAAATTCCTGCGACTTCTTCAACCGCTGCCATCATATCGCTTCTCGCAACCTGTAGCATATCTGTCCTGCTCGAACAACAATCGGGCTGGTCCCTTTTCTTGTGCCCTGCATGACAGTTGATGAGTTTACAGGACCCAGTCGAGACATGGGTCTGATGGGGAGATACACCTGGAACCCCGCCGTTTACCTAGATCACGAGAACCTCATAAATACATTATACTAATATGGCTTCGGCCGATGGCGACGGGCCTGATGGCTCTTCTTTGGTGTGTAGCTGCTCTCCCCCCTCTTTATTCTAGCCTCTTGTGCTAACCTGTCACTCTTCCTCTGCAGAGACCTGTGTCGTCCATTCGAGCTCGGTTTGAGAACATGGGCAAAGGTACCGACGGCCCAGCTTCAAGCCAAGTCGCAGCTCCAGCTCCCGCACCAGCTCCCACCCCTACTCTTGCACCTCAGAAGCCTCCCTCTCGACCGATTTCGCCAGCTCCGAAGCCGAACAAGCTAAAGGACTTCAAGCCATCCCAGGAAACCGCTACATCGATTCCCTCGACACCAACAATCATTCCGCCTACTCCAACGACACCTGCAGCCCCTCCGCGACCGAAAGAGAAGCCCAAGATACCTCCATCACCTTTCATTCGCCAAGATGCTCTTCCATCTGCCGCTGGTGCCAACCACATCAACACACCCCCACGAGCTAATTCGACCAAACCGATTGTAAATGCCAAGGCCGAGCCTCTACAGCCTCAAGCTCCTGCTGTCACCGTGCAACCACCACTCTCGCCGCCAAAAGTTAGGCCGTCCACCATTCCTGTTGGCGAGCACCCCAGTCTGTTAAATCCCGAGACTGCGGTATCTATAGCCTCTGGCCCTGGTTCCCCTAGCCGTCCTCTTACTCCATCGCCGGCATCACCGTCCAGGTCACCTCGTTCCAAAGCGCCCTCGCCACCTCCCCCAAGACGATCAGCAGAACTTCGACGAGACAAAGAAACAAAGGTCCCACCCCCACCGCCGAATCCTCGGAGGGAAAAAGCAGTGTTGGATCAAGCTGGCAACATTCGCAGCTCCTCTCGAGATTCTTCGAGGGCCAAAACGCCGGATGTGGCCCAGGAAACGTCGCCTTTTAGCAGCCCCCCGATCAGTCCCAGGATCGGTAATGACGATGACGAGGTTCCCCCCGAGCTTCCGGTCCGGCCAAGACCTAGAAGCACGATCATGCAAGCCGCTCGACCCAAATCAACTGCCACTAACTTCGAGCCACCTCCAGTCCATCATTCAATTTCAGTGCGCCGGGGTCAAAGAACTGAAGAAAGGAATGGCTCCGTTAGCCATGGACGTTCACTCGATGAAGCTAGACCTAAGCCTTCATCGAAGATCACGTCTATGGAGCCGCCTCCCCGTCCTGTTTCCATGATTGCTCCTCCTCGGCCGCCTCGGCCTGGCGTTCAAGCTCCAGCCCAGATTTCAGCACAAATTCCTGAACGTCGCCAATCCACGGTAGCAAGACGAGCTTCATCGAACCCAACGACGCAGCAGCCTCCATTGCCCGCGACAAGGACGCATGGTCGGTCTGGTACTGTGGACAGCAGAATAGAACGACCGCCAATAGACATACGCAGTCTCGCCCCCGCCATAGCTCCTGTTAAGCCTGCACCGTCAGCCACCTCCAACCAGATTCCAGTTTCAAAGGTGGAGGCAGTCGCACCAGTCGTCACCTATCCTGATTGCTCGAGCACAAATCGCAGGGCACCGTTTGTTAAGCGTGGTATTGAGGAAATTGCGACCAAGTATGATCCCAGGATCTTCGATGTGTGTGGCGAAAACGTATGCACAAGTGGACAATTGACAAGAGTTTGGAATGTTCTCGATGGCGAACTCATCATGAGTCTGGCTCATACTGAGGGCATCAAGGCCACGTCAGTTGCGTTCAAGCCAGCTGCTGATCCCCAGAATGAGGGCTGGAAAATATGGATCGGTACAACATCTGGTGAAATCATGGAGGCTGACGTTGAGACCCATGAAATTACCAACAGCAAAGGCGGGATACACGGCAGACGTGAAGTGATCAGGATGTATCGCCACTTCAATGAAATGTGGACCCTAGACGAGCTGGGTACTCTTCTTGTTTGGGGTCCTGATGAGACGGGAGTCCCGAATGTCGCTGGAAATCCCCATCAAAGCTTCAAAGTACCTAGGGATCACACATTCTCTATGGTCGTGGGGAGCGAGCTATGGCATGCCACAGGAAAGGAAGTCCGCATTTTTGCGCCAACTTTGCATGGCCGAGACCAATTCCAGGTGTTGATCCGGCCGCTTGTAGCTGAAGGTGCTGGTGAGGTCACTGCTGGATCTCAGGTCAAGACGCAACCTGGGAAGGTATATCTGGGGCATAGCGACGGGAAAGTCAGTATCTGGTCAACCATTGACTATTCGTGCCTGGCGGTTTTGAGCATCAGTACGTGGAAAATCAATGCCCTTGCTGGAGTTGGCCAACGCATCTGGGTTGGCTATAACAACGGTCGTACCTGCGTGTACGAGATTAGCGAAACCCCTTGGACCATTCTCAAAGAATGGCAAGCACATTCCCCTGGCAATCCGGTGCTTGGCGTCAAGGCAGACCCTGCCAGCTGTTATAGACTTGATCGTCTGCAAGTGGTATCGTTGGGGGCTGACAATAAACTCAAAATCTGGGATGGGTTGTTGGAGGATGACTGGGTCGAGGATGAGATGAAGTCCAAAGACACGGAATATTGTGAATTTGACGAAATACGAGCAATGGTCTTCACCTGGAACGCCGGTGCATCGACGCCGTCAAGCTTACGATACTCGCATAACGACGGCGAATTCTTCCCTGACCTGATCAAATCTAGTGGCGCCCCCGATATCCTCATCTTTGGTTTCCAGGAGCTTGTCGATTTGGAAGATAAAACGGCTACTGCAAAGCGATTTCTCAAGGTAAAGAAGAAGAAGGAGGAAGGCACCGATCAAGAGCGCATGAGTCACCAATACCGAGACTGGAGAGACTTTTTGAAGAAGACGCTCGACGATTATACCCCGACAGATGATCTGTATCATCTTCTCCATACGGCGCCTTTAGTAGGCCTTTTCCAATGTGTTTTTGTGAAGTCATCCCTCCGGGATCGAATCCGGAACCTGAACGCTGCTGAAGTGAAGCGCGGCATGGGCGGCTACCACGGAAACAAAGGTGCGGTAGCGGTTCGCTTCCAAATCGACGACAGCTCAGTTTGCTTTGTCAATTGCCATCTTGCTGCCGGGCAATCGCAGGCCAGTGCTCGTCACAATGACATCGCTGAGATTTTGGACTCGAGCCTTTTCCCAGCTGAAAGAGACCCTAGCGTACGTATCGACAGCTTTGCCGGGGGCGGTGATGGCACGCTGGTAGTGGACCACGAGTTGTGCATTCTTAATGGCGATCTTAACTATCGAATTGACACGATGTCCCGCGACACGGTAGTGGGAGCTGTCAAGCAAAACAACCTCAGCAAGCTCTTGGAGAGAGATCAGCTCCTCGTCGCACGACGTCGCAATCCCACATTCAAACTGCGTGCCTTTGAAGAACTTCCCATCACTTTTGCTCCTACTTACAAGTACGATGTCGGGACAGACAACTACGATTCGAGCGAGAAGAAGAGAAGCCCTGCCTGGTGTGATCGGCTGTTGTTCAGAGGCCGAGGAAGAGTCCAGCAGCTGGACTACCGAAGACATGAAGTCTATGTGAGTGACCATCGACCAGTCACGGGTAATTTCAGGCTCTGGGTCAAGAGAGTCAACCACAGCGCGAGAGCAAAGGCCTGGATGGAGAGCCAGCAAAGCTTCGAGGTCGTGCGCGAGCGAGAGACGGCAGATGAAAAGTGAGTTTGTTCCCCAGCTACAGAATGCCGTTGAGCATGAAAAATAGCGGTTCCGAGGTAGGCTAACACATTGAATGAATAGACTCCATTATTTGATGACGACATGCGGCTATGATGAGGCGACAAGTAAACAGCTGATCCGAGAAAGGGCAAAGCCTCATCGAGGCCACTAATCTTCCTGTTTCCGGGAGCAAGGTGTTTTAGATGGGCTAGATTCACGACATTTAAAAAAATTTCGGCAGGGTTTGAGGCCGCCACGGCGAATGAATACAAGATATAGAGCTGCTTTTCACAACCTTCCCCTTTAGTTAGCACTTTAGACCTGATGAGCGTGCATAACACTGATTGTTGTTGGGCGTTTTATCATGTGCCTCAACTCCAGCTTCAATGTGCTGTCTAGTAAGAGCAAGCGTCAGGTGTTGAATTTCCATAAATTAAATATGCGATATGGCGTCCGTGTACTTCACCCCAACTATCCTATCCAGTCGTGTACCCGTGATCCCGGACGGCGTGACATTAAATCATTATCAGATCGGTGCCAGCTCGAACTAACATTAAAGAAGGCAAGTGATTATCCATCGTTTCATTCAGCTTGAGCAAGACTTCCCTCCCCCTTAAAGGGATATCGCCCCAGTCTCCCCGACCGACGGGGGCTCGTACCGCACCTCGTGGTACTCCTCCAGAGCCGAAGCCCACCACTCCTGCTCCTGCAGGGCGTCGAGATCGAGGGCCATCTTGATCTCGCCAAAGTAGTTGACCTCGCCCTGCTGCCGGAACCCGAGCTTCTGGAACAGGGCGCGGCTGTCGTCGTTGCCCTCCTTGATGCGCACGATGAGGCCCCTCAGGCTCCTCTGGCCCCTGCCGGCCAGGTTCACGTCCAGCCAGTCGGCGTCCGTGGTGGCGGCGGCGTTGGCGGAGCTGATGCTGCTGGTGCGGCTGGCGGTGCTG